AACTGTGAGGCATCTGATCTGACCCGAAGTCTGCCGCCTGGTCGGTGTTGTTAGAATTGCAATCTACTTTTGCATGCCAACTTTTGACCATCCGATTCATGTTGCGTTTGCCAACAACAGCCTGCTTTTACTGATGCCTTTGACAAATGCCATCGTCCGTCTGTCATAATTTTTGGCAGCATTAATATTCCTCATTTTCTTGGACCTGACTCTCCAAGTGATGTCATAGGTGTTAAATTCTCATCCTTTTTTAATTTCATTCATTAGTTCGTGCGGATTTTCCGTTAGTCTAGTTTATTAGTCATCAGCCTCTGTTTAGAGAATTGACAAAATGATGAGTACATGGTGATATTGCAGGGTGACGAACAAGCTGGAGCTGACAAATGTCGATCTGAGAAAACTCAGAAATGAAATCAGAGACCGGCTGACTCGGTTTCATAAACTACCCAAAATGGAAATGAAAATATACTCAAGCCTTCTTGCATGGGAATCGTCCACTAGACACAGAGGCGTCGAGAGACAGTCCGAAACCTGATAACCCTCCATTGCTTGCGACCAGAAATATTACCTTTGCTGAAGTAGTGATCACTGCCTAATGTATCAATTTGAAGTACAATTTCTATTGGTCAAACACAAAAATACGGGTTACTGCGCTGCTTTAACTCTGTTGTTTTTAGATGGCGATGTGAATCCACTGTAATAGCACGATATAATAACTCAGCCATTCCTTTTTGAGGCCTAATGGTGGCCCTTGTGTTCTATCCGTTTGATCGGATTGGTAATCCTTAGACAAATTAGTTCGAATAAGGAGGATAAAGATATTTGTCAGCTGTGGTTACCACTGTTTAAGATGTCTGCCGTTTTGGATTGATCATCAGAATCTTGCGTCATGATTAGACTAGCGAAAGCACCATTTAAGGGACACTATATTCGGTGATCATTATCTGTTTATGCCTCTGTTTCACAGCAGCGCTACACGTCACGAGAGTGTTACAGGTTACTACGTCATTTTGATGTGTGCTTCAGTGCGACATTGATTGTTTATCATTTTATGTCGGCAAGTAGGATATATATAATCCAGATAGGTTAACTGCCCTTTCACGTTCCTTCCCGGATTTCTATGGATCCAGCAATGATATCTGACTCAACCCCTACTCTTGGCTTGAAATTGAGAAGTCGTTTCTTGAGTGGGATCATCAGTTTCTGCAACCGTTTTCCAATGTTTCTGACAAACAAGCGATGCAAAAAGGTTGTTTTATTAAATGGAGTTTAATCCAAGCCTTGACCTTAACGTTTCGAACAGTATTTCACTGATTTTCTTCAGCAGGGCCTTTACGAGCTGTCAGGTCTCTTAGCTTATAGCCAACTTTTATCGCTTTTCTTATAAAGGCATTTCATTGCGCAATTATTATTTTGATTCCTGCTTGAGAGATTATAAATGAAAAGAAGTTTGTTCGCAGTTTATTTGCCCTGAATAGAGCAGTTTTCTGTCCCCAATCCTTAGAATTACTAATAGTGCTTAAAAATGGAGCTTTACATGAATATGTCTCGATAAAACCAATGCAAAAAATATAGCTTTTTGGTGGAGTATTAGAATCCGTCCTCCAGGATGGTACTTTCCAGAAGCGGAAACTTGAAAGTCTGACTTGTAATATTATAAATTTTTTCATACGATAGAGTAATTCGTTTGTGTGGCTGTGGTCATACTAAAAAATAGCGTCGAATACGGTTTACTTATGTACAACGCGAAAGATACTGTGGTCAGTTCGATGACTGATCAATACCGACGTTTCGGCCCGTGTCTCATGGACTTTCCTCAAGGTAGGTTCAAGTGATGTTTTGTGAATGTGGTTAATCGTCCACAGAAGTCGATTGCTTCGGAGTCTGAAGGCAAGCTTTGGGTCGGTGCTGCTGGTTAAATAGTTCTTGGGCGACAGGGGCAACGAGATTCATTCAGTCCGCTCAGAGTTCATATCGTACTGTACCGCGAAACGTTGGTACTGGTTAGTCACCAGAATGACCACAGTATCTTTGGCGTTGTGAATAAGTAAACCGTGTTTTTCGCTATTTTTTGAAACTTTTTTCCTGTTTATTTTTCTATTATTTCATTTTGGTAGTTGAATAATAAATAACTGGAATCCTCAAAAGTTGCTGCTTGGAGGCCACCGTTCGTAGTTGAAATTGCTTAGCCATGCTATTGTTTATTAACTTGAGAGAAGGTGGCATTTCTGAATGAACCAGTATGGCTATGGTTGTCAGCATGGCTTGATAACCGCGTCACTCGTCTTTTATCTGTAGGCAGATGAAAGAACACCATTTCATGGATAGGAAGCAGAGGATTACGTGCTAGAATAGTCAGTTAACTGTAGACTAGCTTTTAGAAAAGGATTACTGGTCGGTGGGACTCTAACGAAGATTTCCGCTGCGCCATAATCTCCGTGAAGACCGTTAGAATAAGCACATATAAAGATGAAAGAAAGAGTGACCTTTCATTTGCAAGCTTTCCTTTCTTTTCGGTGACATTAGAATCTGATTAAAACAAAATTTTGAAGTTCTTGTTCCCCACAATGTGCAAGTTCTTGCTAGATGATAATTGACCATGTGAACACCATATATTCAAGTGCAGTTGCAGCTGGATTTCATAACCTCATCTTTCACTTTCATTCGGCTTGTCTTCCTTGGGGGTGTATCAAGAACGCGTCGACGCTCCTCCAGTTTCCTCTACTCTTGAGTGTTTTTTGACGAGTGGTTGTTTGGTAGTTCATTCGGGATGCCAACCCTCGTGAACAATGACCGTGTCTCCCAGCAATTTTCATCAAGCCAACGAATTTACAGAAATGGAGCAACTGGTGAGGAAATTTCGGTCATGGACAGATATCCTTGGCAAGTTGCCATCGAAAGCTGGCTGCTGTGCATCGCGCACAGCCGAGTGGCAAACGGCTTTCTGAAAACGGCATCACGACCCAGCCCAGTGATGGTCTGCGAGCCTTTAGCAGATGACGTTTGAATAAAAATGGTAATGCTCGGTTTTATGGTTGTCGTAATTATTTATTGATCCGTTCTTCACGGTCCGATGCTGTACAGAAAGACAGATTTCGATTCTCGATCTGTTGTCGAATGATGTGCAGTGCTTTTGCTGTTTATGTCGGCAAGGCTAAACCAGCCTCAGACCGTAATCGGTTTCCACCGAACAAAACTAGTGAACGAATCTGGGCGAAACGGTAAACGGGCGAGCTAACGAACGACCAATGGCCGGCTGACCCACGTCTACTGACAGGTAGTTCTTGTTCGGGTTCGGTCGTTTTCGAGGAATCTTCGGAATACTGATGACTCACGCTCAAGACAGGATTATGCATACTCATTTCATGGTTTTCGGCTAGTTTGCTTTTTTGCGGTTTACACTAAAATCCAGTCACCTTGTGTAATACTTTCAAGGTACTTAACAGGTATCGTTTCGAAACGTGTGCTGCGCTGTGCATTGTGCATGCATAATAAATGAACGTCTAAACGACACGGCGGTAGCCCTGTGGCGGCAGCCGTTCAGCTTGCCGCCTTAAAGCATGCCGATTCAATAACTGGGGTAGAAAATTTTGTTCGTTTGAACTTTTCGGTGTCAAACTGTGGCCGGACCGGTCGGCCCCAAACCCGAGGCCCGAGGCTCATCTTGTCAGCTGCCGTCTGTGCTATCACGGTCGCGCCTCGGCTTGTGTTGATTGACAAGAACTTGTCCGCAACCAGCTGGGCACGCTCGTCTGTGACGACCGGCACGCGGCGGCGTCCGCCGTTGTTGTCGCCGACGAGGCCGGCTTTTCTGTCCTTACTTCCGCTCATCACTCACTGCCGCTGCACACCTTACCTCACCACCTCATAGCTCGTTCTGGTCACGGCGCACTGCCTGCCATTTTGCTTCGTTCATTTGAGGATGCCGCGCCTCCATGACCACGGCGCAACGACAGTTTTTGTGCTCTTCGTCGGTCACGCGTATTCTCTTTTGTGCGACGGTACAAAACGTGTCTTCGACCAGGATCATTCCAACCTAGGTGGAATAGCACTCACAATGCAGTCTTATGAATAAATCGCTTTCAATTAGCATAAAGTTAGGCATAGGTTCAACATCGTGTCAGGGCTTCAACACCGTCCTCATAGCTTATGACGATCTGTTTCGTTGCAGGAAAAACTTTCACGTTGACGATCACCGTACACACGTACCCCCGCCAGGTCGCGACGTACACGAAGGCGATCAAGATTACGGTAGATGGTCCTCGTGCGTCCCGAAGTCCGAAAGGTTGTCGTTTTTCGTTTTAAACCAGTCGCTCAACTGGCCTCACATGTCATCTGTGCTCGCTTTGTAGGAGTCGATCTGTCGATCAAGCGTCGTCTGCGGTGTTCCACGTCGAACCCCGAAGAAGGTACATCTTGTGGGTCATGCGTCTTTGCGTTTTCTGTACTTGCGCGTCGTCGAGGCGCGAAACATGAACATTGAGTCTCGAGCTCGAGGCGCGAGGCATCTCGGTACACCGTAAACATCGCCTGCGTGTTTGCATGTAGGAAGCTGTCTCGAAAACGCTGGAGGAATTTTTGGCAGCAGGGAGTGTCAAGCGTTTCCTCGAATCCTTCGAAGTCCAAGCATCATTATTAATTCAAATAGTAGTGCACGACCTTTTTTCTTTTTTCGTCCCTCGATAGCAGCCAAAATTCTGTAGCAAAGCGTGAAGTACTTAACGTCATGTACGAAAGGACAGCTGACATTGCTTTTGACACACCGATTACTTTAATTCCTTGAACATCAACATCAGTTTTGACTACGATAACGAAATGATTAGAGGGTAAGATGATTTCGGCTAGAACGAACATGCTTTCAACGGATTAAGGTGTCAGGAAATAGAATGACCATTCAAAAATCTGGCTATAACGCAAAATAGGATTAACAATAGATCGATTTAGATCGCACATCACGTTGCAGACTTAACTAAGCACTGGTCACTGAAGACGTAGTCAGCAGTCTTATTGAGTGAAATAATTTGGACTTAAAAATTTTAAGTATTTCTCGTAAGCTTCAAATTTTAAATTTGAAAGTTCAGTATTTCTCGTCCTTTTAACATGTTTTCTAGCGAACTTTTGCAGCAAGTAGTTCGCCACTTCCCGTGACGGTCAGCACGGATTTAGCTAATAATATTTAGTTTCGCTAACTTTATCGCTTTTTGATGCATTTTTATGTATTTCCTACCATACCTTGCCATTAGTAGAGGCTGCCTTTAATATAGGGCATTCCTAACTGATGGTATAAAACCGGGAATCAGCGCCGCATTATAAACATCATTATATGAAAAACCTCATAACTGATCCTAACCATGAAAGTGATAGGGCGAGCGAAATTCCAGTGGTTACAAATGTTTCTTCCTTCCTTTTCCTCCTCATGGGTAGATTCGTTTCTACATGGAGAGCAACATATTATTCTACTGCAAGTGGCTTTGGCGCTTTCTGGAATGCCAAACAGACATGCCAACTAAACGATTAAAATACAAAATATTATTAAAGTAAATATAACTGAAGACGAATTAAAGGTATAACAAGTGGAGAGTGTATGACATCACGAAATGTATCATCCTTGTTTCCAGACAAACGGTGTCATGCATAACTTTGCATTGCAACTCAGGTTCGAACTGTTCAATTCCACGCCCTAATCAGCCATCACTGTCTAGGTTCTTGACTATCACTAGAGTGTTTTGGCACAGCATCTTCACGATTGAGGTTGACATTGTCCAGCTTTGTTAAAACACTTACAATGATAGATTAATGGATCTATGTTAGGAAACTTTACGAATTAACCTTTTATTTCGACTCTTCCTAAGTAAAATTTTTTGTGTTTCATTTCTGATCGAAAAAGAAAAATATTTCTTCAAAACTCATCGATAGAAAATGACAGTAGCCAGGTGGAGTAGACTCCAACGACCGCAAGTAAAACTTCTGGTACAAGGCAATATTTCTCAGGCTGCCAAAATCTACCGGTTAAATGAACTAATGGAGTTGGTGACTTGAATGTACTCAAGGATTAATTCTTTTTTAAACTGATTCACTTTATGTAAGTGTTTTTCTACATGATAGGCTTATCGAAAGGTAAACAGTCACTTTCAGTTTTTTGATGAAAAAGCGATAACAGCAACAGTGGTCACACCTTATACTGAATAGCCATCTGTCGATTGAGTCAAGGCGAATGGCAACCTTAGAGGCGCTGGTATCAGACAGCATGACCGTACTAATCAGCATTCTGGCATTACTACAACAGAGCACCATACTATCCATGTTGTTTGCAAATCAAATGCTTGTTACCCCTCGGCTGATTGCACTTCAGCGATATGCCAAATTCTTTCTGGCGATATATTTCTGTAGATGAGGTGGTACGAAATGTAAATCAAAATTTTCAGGCAAAAGAAGATTTGGGAAAACTGTTTTTTCAGAAACAGTCATCTTCGTTTACTTCGCCAGTAGTTATACAAGCAGCGGACTTCGCAATAAATTTGGTAGGGGACCCACGAATGATTTGTTGCAATTGATTTTTGCTTGAGTCACAGTCAAGTTCTTCTGAAGGTTGTTACGAAATCGTCGCTAAGGTTGATCTTTAGAACGTTACCGAAAGAATGAGGAATTTTGAGGAACCTGAATTTTACGAAACGGAAAATCAGGTTCGGGATTGACTCCGTCGTTCGCTCATCGTAGGATTGCTCTTGAAAACTGGTGGGCTTATGTGATTTTGCATCATACCGAAAAGACAGTGAGCACGGCGACAGCGCTAGGCTCTAACCAAACAACGCGCCATACATGCCTAGCTTCAGGATCGTGAGCAAGGAAAGTCGTTTTTCGATTTTGTTCATCCGCAAATAAGCGCAAGTAGCTTTTGAAGGATGCTGACAAACCGTACGACATCTGTCCTCCTCTCTCAACGGGCCCGCCCGACTGCAGTTGACAGATTTATGAGTGTGCTCCATAACCCTAGATCTATAAGTAGAGCGCGCCTTGGCCTCCCTAAGAAGGTTACTCCGTGACCGCGGATCCATCGGATTAAAATTGTAAAATATATCACGAATTTTTGACCGTACAGCTGCTAGTTCATTCCACAGAACTTGGAGAAAGTTCTAGTCGTCGTAGGTTATGCCCGTCTGGTTATTTCGTCGGGAGCTCAGCAATAAATACGTCACATGGGTGAGTCTAGCCATCTATATAAGTTTAGTTATGGCAGGATTAATTGCTTTTCTGAAACTTAGAACGATCGACTTTTTTGTACCGAGTTACAATAGGGTGGTTGCAGTTAAACGGTCAGATGGGTAAAGTTGTTACTGCTTTATCCTTCGTTTTAGCGGCCGCTGGTCAGTTTATATGGCTGAAATGTCACTGTAGAGACCACCAGATACCCTGTGCAGAAAATCACAACCAAAGTTCAAATTCTTTATGCATTTAATGAAGAATAGACCCTGGGTCGAAAGATGATTCTGTCACAACTGATTTGTGCTTGGAACGCTATTAGTAGTTATTATTTTTGTTTGTTTTCGACTATTTCTTGGGCTAATGAAGAGTGATGCATTTCAATGTAACAAAACTACCTTTGGTATATAAATAGTTTTAACGGATTGTTCAGTGTTATCGACTGTTCCCCGTTAACTTCCCGTTGACTGCCTCGGGAAAGCAGCATACGCTCTTGGGTCTTAGATTACAGGCAGCGTCGAAGCTTGCTGAACTTAATTAAACCAATGATAATGTACCCTTCAAGATGTGCTTGATATCCTGTAGTTTGAAATGCTACCCACTTGATCCTTCGGTGTCAGTTTGGTGAAACTCTGTGAAAGCGTTGGGTAGGCAGTTTTTGGCGCTGAATTGTCAGCTTTTCAGCTGCTTCATTTGTCGTATGTTCCATTCAAATCCCAGACACGCTCTGTATCTTTGGATCACCAAATGCCAGGTGACTACAAAAAAGATTTGCCTGGGCCGGGCTGGACGGTTTCCAGTTGTCTTAAAGGAAATCTGTGAGACTGAAATACTGAGAAACATTTTCGGGTGTCAAAACTAGACAAGAACGACATCAAACACAGGGGTTCGCCATTAGGATCATTGCGCCAACGAACAGTGACAAAGTCACAGTTTGTTCAGTACCTCTAGGTACTCTATCTCATTGGTGTAGGGGGAGAAGCGAAATGTTGCAGTACTCAAGAGTAAAAGCTATGTGCATTAGATACAGATGAAAGAGTAGATTTAGCGGATCATGAGACCAATTATACTGGATAGAAAGAAATGAACTGAGGAAACGAAGAAGGCGAGATTCTTTTTGCATGAGTGTGAAAAATTAACTTCAATGACTGGGCACATACCAGAAACAAGAGCAAAACTATATCGGTGTTAGGTCAATAATGATTGAGATTGATTGTATTTCGTCCGTGCGTTAGTGATCATACTGGAAAATGTATAAAAACACCATGCAATCAATTTGGTCAATCGGGTGATTAGCTGGTACCGGCGTTTCGGCTCGTGTCTCGCGGGCTTTCTTCAAGTTGGACAGGAATGATTTCCGAAGTTCGTCCTGTGGCCCGCAGTTGTTGTAACGGTTGGAGCCAAAAGGAGGCTTTTGGTCCGTTCTGTTGGTTAAGTAACTTTTCGGCCACTGCCGCGACAAAGCTTATCCAGTCCGTGCGTAGTTCGTATTTTTTGTTCCGGTTGACATTATCGCAAGACTCGATAATTAATGCCTCTTTGATGCGTCTGTTCAGCTAGCTTCTTTCTTTGA